TGTGTGTGTGTGTGTGTGTGTGTGTGTGTGTGTGTGTGTGTGTGTGTGGAGGGGGTGCACATATACGCCCACAAAGGGACTGGTTCCTGGGGCTGAAGCCACAGTCACCATTCCATTCTCACAACACATATGTGAGGTTACAGTTGCACTGGGAAGAATTCTTTTCTTCCTTTTGGTGGCTTGGTGACCCTCACAGGCTTCAGCCAGACCCCACATTCTGTGAGCCAGGCTGCAAGGACCCCCAGTCCTGCTCCAGTCAAGGTCGACACACACAAGGATGAGACGCATTTCGGGATTTCTCCAGTGGCTTTAATTTGAAACTTGATGCTTCTAAGCTGTGGTACAAGCCTGGCTCTGCAGGGCCACATCTGGCTCCTGAGCATCAGGAGGGAATAAATACGTCACTGGGGTTGAAACAGGAATCTGGGGTCCCTTTTCTCCCAGCCTAGAGTGTTTCAAATTATGGCAGCTGGATAAACATTAATATAATTGTCTGTGACACCAAGCTATAGATTCTTTTATACTTTTGATGTTCAATCTTCCCCTTACGAGGGGAATTCATTCAAAACGAAACAAAACACTATGTGGGATCAAAACCCGGGTGTGTAACTGCACTAAACATCTGTGAGCAGGGAAACTTCTAGAAGCAGATGCTGAGTTGGCCACACAGGCATTTAAGACTGAGGAATCTGCCTGCCCTAGCCCTCTCACTGCCCCAACCCACAACTCTGCACTGTCATGGGTCTGATTCCCTAAGATTCACCTGCTTGGTGCTTAGGGGCCCAGCACAAGGCTGAGATGCAGCTGCAGAGCTATGTGCAGTGACAGCCATTTGGTAATCCCAAATTTCTACTACCTGTTCTTCCTACGAACAACTGAAGACCCCTTCACAGTCACAGTACTGAGAGCATCACCCCCTCCCCAAGCCCCAAGGAGGAAAAGGGGAAGGCCCCTCCCCTTCACATTAGGGGGAAGTGTGAGGCCAAGGACTTGCTCATGGCCTCACTGTACCATAGAGCTCTTGAGGGCTGCTACCCTCTCTAGGCAGAGAGAGCTCAATTTCCTAGTTCATGTTGCCAAAATACAAGAAGACAAAGTTTGGCTGATTCTCTGCCTTCTCTAATTGCATCTTCTTTTCTCTCCCATGTGGGCATTTCTAGAGTTGAGGTTCCTTTCATAAAACTGAGCTTTGGGGTTCTTCCCAGATCCTCCCTCCCCTCCCCAGTAAAGAGCAAATAGCACCGGGACTCTGCTTGGCTCTCTGTCCTCGTACCCCATCTGGCTGCAAGCTCTAGTGGGTAGAGGACACCACATAGGCTGTCGCAATGTACTTCTTGCCATTTCCGTAGGTGGTCTTATCCCAGGTGTAGGTCTGGATGGCCAAAGGATAGCCACCCAGGCTTAAGTGGCACCTGGAGGAGAAGATCATGAATCGAATCAGCAGAGCCCACAACTTCACCCAGCCCTGTTTCAGATGGGAGAGACCTAGTCATCTCTCGCGGAAGGGCCCCGGCCTCCCAGACAGAGGTGCCTGCATTCCCAAGCCTCTACTCCAGCTCCCTGTGTGCAGCGAGCTTTCCAAACCTGGACCTCGGTGTCTCTCTGCCTAGGAGACCATGCTCCTCGTCCTTTCCAGAGAAATACTCTCAACTCCTCAAGCTGAACACTTCAGAAATTGGCTCTTCGCTCTCTGCTTTGGAAGCAATAGGACCAGAGCAAGGCACTGTGGCACATGTCAAGAGGCTGTGAGGCAAGAGAATCTGTAACCCCAGCTACACGGTGAAAAAAAGCCTCCACCCCAATAAAAACAGAAAGTATTAGGACCCAAAACACATTCTCAAGTGACAGAGGCCAGTTATTATCAGCTGTTCTCTTTGGGACTCTGTGGCTCTCTCATGTGCCTCATGTGCCAATCAGGGAGCCTCGGAGATGCAGGACAATTGCACTGCTGTCTCCTTGGTCGATTACAAGCCGGATGCTTCACTCGAGGAGGGAGGAAGGGGATGGTTCTGCTGCCAGAGCAAGACCAGCAGCCGATCCAAGCTAACTCCTTACTAACGTTGTTGAAGGTAAGAACAATGGCTTCTCCAACTGCCCCAGCCACTGAGCAGCTATCCTGGATGACAGTGGTTGGAGAATCCCCCTTCTGCCCTAGTCCCATGGCCACCCCCAATACTCACTTTTTGCCTGGCCTGGTGATGAAGCACAGAGAGTAGAGGGCAAACTCGAACTCAGGGCTGCTGCCAATGAAAACGGAGCCCACTTCCTTGTAGTAGCCATCCCAGTTGAACTGCATGGCTAGGACATCGGGGTAGGAATCCCACTGTGGAGGAAAGGTCGGTAGAGGTCACGTGATAGAGCCAGGCACCAACAGTCAGCTAGTGTTTATGGGGTGCCATGAGAAGCCTTCTGGAGGCACTGGCTTCTTTAAACAGACAGAAGGGACACCTTCTGTCTGCAAAGTGCCCAAGTCCCACTCAGACCCGCTGTCTGCAGCTTCCAGTGGCAAGGAGGTCAGAGTAATGTCCACAAGATCAAGGCAGAGTGCAAGAACACAGCTGTTCCCTATGGCCCTCCAGATGCCAGAGGCCTTCGCTGCCCCCAAATCGTTTCCTGGTGTAGGGCACCAAAGGTTCCTAATGCAACATGTGGAGTCCAGCTCAGCTAGCCAGGCCAACGAATGCCTCTAAGGACATTCAGGCAGGTAGATGCATGCCTTTGTTCTCCGGTCTAAGCATTGGCCCTTGGCCTTGGCCTTGGCCTCCCACTGGGGTGTGGTGCCCTCTACCTCCTGTCCCTGGCAGTTTTGGAGGCTTCACTGCTGGGAGTGGGGTGGAAATCTGCCCTCTAGCAGATAAGGACGGAGTATCCACAGTCCCTGTTGGGTGGTTGTGAGGGCCAGAGTGAGAAGCAAGTCTGATTACTTGGAAGGCAGAGGCAGAGCAGGAAGTATGGGCACCCAAGAGGCTCCCCCGGCCCACGGACTCACAGGCCCATCGTAGTTGTGGCTGTAGTAATCAAGAAGACCCTTCTTCTCCTGCAGGTAGAAGCGGATCCAGTTATGGAAGCCAACGACCTTGCCCTTTTTCACTTCGCCTGTAATGAAGAGTCAAGGCGGGTGGTCTGGGCTCCCTTCCCGGCCCTTCCCCTCCAGCCCCCTTTCTACCAGTCCATGCCAAGCCTGTCTCCCATCCCCAGGCTCTGACTTCTAGAATACTCAGCTGAGTATTTATCTGACTATTCTTACTTAACCCCTTGCCTGACACCCTTGGATGCTTGTTTTCTGTTTTTTGGCTCAAGGCTCGGGAGATTCCTTCCTCCTAGAAAATCCACTGCTCTATTTCCACAGGATCAAGCCGGGCTCTCAGGGGACTTTAAGGGATGAAGGAACACAGTAGCCTTTATAGGAAGCTCCTAACTGAGCGATGGGAACAGAGACCTGCTCAGAGGCAGACATGCCAGCAAACGCTTGCTCATCCTAGGTAGCACCCTGGGCACTCCGGGACTGCTGTTCTTTCCCTCCTAGGTATTCCAGAGCGACTGTCGTTCCTCAGCATGATTTCTCAGATGCCTTCATAATTGGCCTGGGAGTCCTTCGCTGCCAGGTGGCTCCGATGCCTGTTAACCGACGCTCAGGACTGTCCACCCCCTGAGCAGAAACATTCTCCTTCACCTTTGTCCCTCACACTCCCCTCAGCCAAGCAGAGTGAGCCTACCTGAGAAGACATGTTCAAAGCCACTCGAATCCCTCTCTCCATTGCCCCTTGAGTAGAGCCCAAACCACATGTTCTCCAAGTCATCCACGAACTCTTGTTCAGAGCTGTAGCGGTCTGTGGAGAGAAAAACAGAGGACTCCGTGGGAAGGAAGTGGCTCAGGTTCTGGGGAGCAAGAAAGGGTACCTGCTCCAGCACATCAGGAGAGATGAGGGTTCAACAAATGCTACCAGACGTTCATTCTGCATGCTCGATGGACTGAGGAGTAGTGCACATACATGTATGCTTGGTGCACACACACACACACACACACACACACACACACACACACACACACACTAACTACTTCTGGGCTCGGGGCACGAGAACTGATGAATTACAGTGATGTTTATGAGATGAGAAGACCCTGGAAGGAACAGGTCTGGGGATGAGGTGGGAACAGTGAGTTCTCCTCACAGTGTTATGTAAACAACAGATAGCCAAGTGGAGCTGTTGAAGGGGCCACTGGGGAAGGTCAGAGCTGAAGTTTTAAATCAGGGACTTCCAGAATTATGTGGAGGATCCAGACCAGATACCAGGAATATTCTCTCCTTTCAAGGACTTGAAACAATGTTGGAAAACAAGACTGACTACACATGAAGCAACAGAGCAGTTCCACAGACCAAATAGTTACCCTTATTAGTACGTGCTGGGTGTCCCCCTTTCGATGCTCTGTGAGCATCAGTTTTCAGAGACCGTATGTCAAAGATAAGACTACAGCGGTAACAAGGGAATGGGGCAGGTGCGTGGCCTGCCACGTGCTGCCCAAACTACCTCCCTGCTTCCACATAATTTATATTGAATAGAAGTTTGGGTAACTTCACAGTCTGAAGTTTAGGAAATCAAATATTAAGTGCTGGCATGTAAGAAGAGCCAGGAAGGAGCTGGAGAGATAACTCAGAGATTAAGAACACTGTCTGCTCTTCCAGAGCTCCTGAGTTCAATTCCCAGCAACCACATGGTAGCTCACAACCATCTATACTGAAATCTGATGCCCTTTTCTGTCATGCAGGTGTACATGCAAATAGAGCACTCATATAGAAAATAAATAAATCTTTAAAAAAAGAAGAGTCAAAGAAAATAGGCATACTTTAGAGGTAGATTCCATAATAAAGCACTCTTGATAACCCTTGAATCTGAAGCTGAGTCACCTCCCAAAAGTTCTCCTCTCTAGATATCATTAACACACAACACTAGAGATTATGGGATGTTTGTTTGTTTCTTAGTTTGGGGAGGGAGTCTAAGACAGAGTTTCTCTGTGTAGACCTGGCTGTCCTGAAACTCACTTTTTAGACCAGGCTGACCTCCAACTCACAGAGATCCACATGCCTCTGCCTCCTGAGTGCTGGAATCGAAGTTGCATGCCATCACCCAGCTGAGATTATGTTTCTAATATCGAAAATTTGGGAGCCTCCCTTAAACTATAACACCAGAATCACAAGCAGTGGTAGCAGAACCAAGAGTTCAAACCAAGGCTATCTGGTTGAGTTTTGGGCCATATTCTAATCCCTCAAACTCCGAAGGGATGCTGGAATGAGCCATTGGAGCCTAGGATTCCTACGTAGCAGGATAAGGGGGATCTGGGGTGAGGGAGGGAGGATGAGTGCTGGGAAGCCTGCTCTGTGTGTTGGAAGGCTGCTTCTGGCTCCTTTAGCTCTTCCAGCCTGGCTAAACTTCTATTTCTCTTGCTGAAAGAGTGGTTCTCAACCTGTGGGTCATGATCCCTTTGGCAAACCACTATCTCCAAAAATATTTACATTAAGATTCATATAAGTAGCAAAATTACAGTTACAAAGTAGCAATGAAAGTAATTTTATGGTTGGGGTCAGCACACCATGATGAACTGTATTAAAAGGTCGCAGCTCTAAAGAAGGTTGAGAAATGCAAACACAGGCTGTTCGCATGTGTTTACCAGAAAGCAGGCACCAGGGGGCGTCACAGGATTGCGTGTATCTTCCAGACTCCCTCACACATTCCGCCTCTTAACAAGAGTTGGTAACTATTGTTTTCTAAGGTTGCAGACAGAAAGTACCAGGTTCGCCTGGACACAGTCCCCAGGGCCAGCAAGGGAGACTTACACAGATCCGCCTCTGAGACAGAGTCCAGCTTGCCAGAGTTCAGGAAAGGAATCCAGAGGAAACTAACAAACAGGACCCAGAGCCAAGAAGTCCTGAAGCCGAAACCTTTTTTGGTCTGATTTGCACGTATCTGTATCTGGAGGTGGTCCAGCCAGACCACTTGCTGATAGAATGTGCTCCCTGAGCCTTTGCTGGCTCTCTGTTGCTGTCCAGGCGAAGGAGGCATTGGGAACTCCACTTCCCCAAAAGCACAGCTTTGATATAATTCTGGCTCAGGGTGGGAGTAGAGTTGGGGTTGGGGGGCCCTCGCTCCATTCAGAAGGTAGGGAACTCACAAGATAAATGACATTCAGTCAAAGGGTGGGATGACCCAAGCAAGCTAGCAAGCCTAGGTCATTCTGTTCCTGCTAGGGCCCCCAATCTCTGTGGCGTCCTTCTAGCCTTGTCTCTGGTCCCTTCTAGCTGTTACTAGCCTCCACACTGTGCCTCCTGCTCCATTACTGGCTCTCACATCCTGCCTTCACCCACCACACACACACACACATACATGGAGACCTCAGCAAGCATCTGGCTCTCCTGAAGACACCCCACCCCCCACAGCTTGTGCAGCAGGGAAGGCTCACTCACTTTGGTGATGGAGAAAGCCATAGAGCTCCTTCATGACAGCTGTCTTCATGACTTCCCTGAGGAAGATATCCTGCTCCTCCATCTGTTGAGCACTGAAGTGCTCCCCAAGTCCCGTGGCCCGATGATAATTGTTGAGTAGGTTGATAAAGGCTGCATAGGTGGGCTTGGAGAACAGTTTCTCATTGACGTAAGTGAAAAGCCTGGGGCAAGTGGATGGAGACCATCAAAAGGCCTGAAATGGCCGAAACTCTCCCCCCAAACCTTCCAGACAGGCCAGGGGCAGCACATAGAGATGGATTCACGAGCAAAAGACAACATGAGGTGGGTTTTTTTTTGGGGGGGGGTACTGTTTTTTATTGATGTTTGGGTTTGGGGTTTTTTTGGTTTTTGTTTGTTTTGCTTCTCTCGTTGGTTGGTTTGGTTTTTCAAGACAGGGTTTCTCTGCGTAGCCCTGGCTGTCCTGGAATTCATTCTGTAGACCAGGTTGGCCTCGAACTCACAGAAAACCGTGTGCCTCCCGAGTGTTGGGATTAAAGGCGTGCACCAACAGCGCCCCACTAAGGTGCTTTTGAAGGCCAACTATGAGGTCTGTTTTCTTCTACCTCACCTCTTGGAAAGCCAGCCGCAGAAACCTCCCAGCTATACACCACCTAACCTAACTCTGGACGTCAGTTTTCCCCCTCTCCCTTTGAGCTTGCTTGATTTGAGGAGCAGAGGTCTGAGGCATCAACGGAGTGAGGGTAGGAAGGGACAGGGTGAGGGGTTGAAAGGAATGAGGGGCACTCACGGCTCCGGGCATCGATCCACTTGGTTTCCTGTCTCTGACTGGGAGATGTGGTTTTGACTGTTGATGACAATGTCTTTCTTCTGGGCTTTATTGATATCCACCCTGTAGATTGTCTCAGAGATACTCTCAAGTTCCTCCTTGGTTACGGCGTCACTGCTGTGGGAGAAGCCCTCTAAGAGGAATTGGAAGAGGGATGGTCTGAGAGCTAGAGGGAGGTGGGTGCCACCTGTCTGAAGATCAGTAGCATCTCCCTCTTGGCCCCTTCTGGAAGCTTGGTCTGGTGAGGGGGACAGCACCCAATACTCGGCAGTTAGAGTGCCAGACAGTAGAAGACTGTCAGGATTGGCACATGGCATTGCCACAGAATGTGCACTTAATGTCCACATCACCCTTTGGGGCACCAAGAAGGGTCACAAACTGAGGTGGGCGTGAGGATCCCCTAGAGGGCTTGTAGAATGGTGAACCTAGTCTAGAGTTTCTGGGCAGCAGGCCTGGGCCAAGGCCTAGGGTTCCTCGCCTCTCCTAAGGATCCCCAGACGCTGCTAATGTTGCTAATCCAAGGGCCACACGGGGAAAGCTTCCAGAGAGTTCCTGAGTGTCTGGGGCTGTGCTGACGGAGCAGACTGACCGTGGCCTCCACACACACTGTCAAAATCCTCACAGCAGTCCCCAAACTCTTGGCAGCGGTCATTGCAGTGGCAAGCGTGGTGCTTGTCATAGTCTTCCCGGCAGCGGCCCTGGCAGGAGCTTGGCGCAGAGTACAGATCTAAGAGGACAGGGGAGAGGTGTATGTATATGTCCGTCTGTCTGTCTGTCTGTATGTCCCTGGCAACCTCTAGAGGATGTGCTAGGAGCCTAAAGACCAGCCCATCGACCCACTCTCCTAGCTGGGCTCCTTGCTAAAGGTCTCCTGGAAAAAAACCACCACAACAAAACAAGCTCAGTTCCCTGCACACCCTGCAGTCAGGAAGTCCTTTGCTTTCTGATGCTGGACTCTACTCCCTGACCTGTTGTTTTTATAATCTCCCCACTCTAAAAATAAAATCTCTTTCATTCCCCTCCCCAGGCCTCAGATGTTTTCCTGGCCACCCCTCCCCCTGGCTGCTTGGATCACATCACTGTATCCCCTCAGCAGATCCAGCCTCGTTCTTCTGGCTTAGGCCTGGGCGCCTCTGGTGTAGCGCACCCTCCCCTTGTCACCCTGTGGTGTCCCATCTGGGGTTCAGGCTTACGGCTGGCTGGCGTCTCATTCTCTGGGTCCAGGAATGCCTTTGGCTCTGGGGGGTCTTCCTCAGCTGTAATGTAGGAAAATAAAGTCACCCAAATCCTGGGATTTTCCTCAAGCTTATACCGGGTTCTGTGCTCCCAGCCTCAAGGCATGTGGTATGTGGACAAACCCCTGACACTGAAGGCTGAGGACTGAAGATGGAAGGAGGGCTTTCCAAGGTCAGATTATGGAAAATTTAGGGAAAACTAACAAACATAATTTCCCCAGGTGACAAGTTTCCTACCATTCTGGTGTTTGGTGCCCACTGTGCTCAAAAGAACTAAAAGAGGAAGAAGAGGAGAATGAAGAGGAAAAGGAGGAGGAGAAGAAAGAGGAGGAAGAGGAGGGTAAGGAGGATGAAGAGGTGAAGAAAGAGGAGGAAGAGGAGGATGAAGAGGAGAAGGAGGAAGAGAAGGAAAGGGGGAGGAAGAGGAGGATGAGTAGCATGAAGAAGAGAAGGAAGAGGAGGAAGAGGAGGATGAGGAGGATGAAGAGGAGAAGGAAGAAGAGGAAGAGGAGGATGAGGAGGATGAAGAGGAGAAGGAGGAGAAGGTAGAGGAGGAGGAGGTGGGGGAGTCCCTTCTAGATTGAAAGCCAATTTGAGTTACCACATATGAATAGAGTATTTTAGCATTCTCCAAATGACAAGACTCCTCAGTTCAGAACATCCTGTTCCTATTAAGAGAGTTGAGGGGGAGCCACCTCTCCCTGAGGGGCTGGGCAGGTGTTAAGTATTTTGAAGCACTGTTAAAATCTGTTCAAAATCATGATGATGGTAGGGATACTATTCATCTGTAAACACTCCTTCTGATGTTTTCCTGTAAATCGATGGGGGATGGGGCAGTTTGACCCCCTAACTGGCAGCTACTGTACTCTCTTGCTGCCTTAGATGCCTAAGACAGCTAGCCATAGCAACTGCACTAGCCATGTGCCAGCTCCAGTGCCTGGCAATCGCTTACTTCGGGACCTAAAGCCACAATCCCCGGCACAGCCATCTCAAAGAGTTTACCACACTGTGTGCAAACGCAAGCTTCTGAGAGCTCTGGCTAACAGAGGCAGAGCATTCCCCACCGCTGGCCCGACCCAGCTTAACTGTAGGTCCCAGCCTCATATGGGGTCATAGAACTGAACGTGGGGTCATGAAGAATTGGCCAACAGCAACGTGTTTCTGAATGGGCCATGGATGAAAATGAAACCCCAAATCAAAAATGTAATGAACCTGAGGTGCTTCCCGGCAAGAGACAAGCATGCGTTATGTGACCTCACCGCACGTTTTGGTTCTTAACATACAACATTCACTGCACATGAACATGTGGTCACACAAGGCCAGCAAGTCAGCTCTGGTCCAGGACTGCAGTGTGGCCCAGGATTTGCAGGGTCTTTTGTTCGGTTGTTTTTTTTAATATGTTGTGTGAGATGGCCCCTCAGGTAGCCCAGGCTGGCTTTGAACTCACTATGTAGCTGAGGATAGCCTTGAACTCCTAGGCCTACTGCTTCCACTCTCCAAGTGTCAGGGGTTCCATATACTCAGCTGTAACAGTAAATGATTGATATGTATACCTGTTTCATATAGCTACAGGCCCAAAGTCTCATGAAAGTCTCTCAGGCATAAAGTAGTGCCAAGTGGAAAAAGTTTGAGACCCACCAGGAAAGGCACTGTTTCGGTGATTCTGAGTCTGTTGGTGAGCTTGCTAGACAGCTCTGCACTGTCACCAGGGCCACAAGTCGGGTTATTCACTCACATGAGACATATCCAGTTGCCTGGCACCAGGCTGTGTTCTAAGCATTGGCAATCCGCAAGCTTCTTAGCTGCATCCTACGCTGCCTAGACTTTGGTGAGCTGAGACTTTCAACCAGCTCAAGACTTTCAACCAGATTTTTTTCCATGGAAAGAAAAGCTCTGAGCTGCGAATCAGGAGCAGGGGGCCGCAGTGGTGCTCAGGCTGGCTTTGCCTCTGTCTTCAAAGGCTGGCATAATGGCTCAAGGTGAACAGACCTTTCCTCGACTGCTGAGAGAGAGCCCAGCAGAAACAGCTGGACTCTGAATGTGCCAGCGAGCTCTAGGCCTGGGCCTCTGCTAGTGGATCTATAGGTGGATTTTGTGTAAACTGAAGAAAGTTTCGTGTGAGTGGAAACGTGGCAGCACCCTGCTGGGTCAGCAGATGACACCTTTGAGCAAATTAAGAAAAGGTATTCTGCCAGGCGGTGGTGGCGCATGCCCTTAGTCCCAGCACTCAGGAGACAGAGGCAGGGTCTCCAGGCTTGAGGCCAGCCCGGTCTGCAGAGTGAGTTCTGGATCAGCCAAGGCTACGAGAAGCCCTGAAGCCCCGTCTGTACCAGAATAAACAAAGCAAAACAAAACAAAAGAGGGGGGGGGGCATTCCTTCCTCTTTGACCTGGATCTTCGCTAGCGCTCACACCTCCTGAGAAGGGTGCACACTGGGCTTTGCTCCGCCTCAGCCAGGTGGCCTCATGCAGTTCACAACCTGTATAACCGCATACGCTGGTCCCATCCCTAGGACTGGGCTCTCCACCTCCTGCAACTGTGCTTTCCTGGGAGTCGGGCGCATGGCCTGCCAAGGAAGCCAGAAAGGCTTCCTGTCACAGCAGCAGATGATCTTTCTACCAGGGAGTGTGCAACACCAGGAGCGGCTAAACAAAGGGCCTATTCAGCGTGACTTTTCAAGGGCTAAGGGTTAAGAGCAGTTGCACTTCCAGAGGAAGTTGGGTCCCCAGCACACAGGTCAGTTTGCAACAGCCCATAACTCCAGTTTTAGGGGAGCCAACACCTTTCTCTGGCCTTCTCAGCCACACAATTGAAAAAAAAATTTTTAAGAAATAATCTGTCAAAAAGTATTCACTTAGCGGGGCCTGGGTATAAAAGTCTGTAATCCTAGCTACTTGGCAGGCTGCAGCAGGAGGGTCACAAGTTCAAGGCCAGCCTGTGCTACATAGTGAGCTCAAGGCTGACCTTGGAAACCTAGTTATAGCCTGTCTCAAAATAAACAGTTGAAAATGAGCTGAGAATACAGCTCAGTGGAAGAGTACTGTCCTCATACATCTGAGACCTGTGGTTCAGTCTCCAGTACAGAGCGGAGGAATTTGTGCTGGGAGAGAATTAAGTGGGCTTTTGGGGAAAGGCGTGTTGTTGTTTGTTTGGTTATTGTTGTTGTTTTGAGACAGATTCTCACTATGTAGTCCCTGGCTGTCCTGGAATTCACTATGTATATACAGCAAGCTGGCTTCCGACTCACACCTGGCTCTGCCTCCCAGAGTGCTGGGATTTAAGGGTGTGTGCCACAGCACCCAGCATGGGAAAGGCAGCTTCAAGTGGTGGCTTCCCTGGAGAAGCATGGTCTCTGCTAAGGACATCACAGAGGCCATGCTGTCTTCCCCGAGTCGTGCAGACTGAACGCTGCCTACCTCTTATGTGTGTGCTTTCCAGTGTGACTAATGGGGAACAACCTCAAATATACCCAAGTAGAATTTTGTTTCTCCTTTTTTTGGAATAAAGTACTTAAACTTTCAAGATCTTGTTAATCTTGACAGTTCCCGCAGATCGCCCAGGTCAATAGCATCTGCTCTACTTTAGTTTAAGAACTTCTTAGAAAACCTGGGAGGAGTGATGGCTACATCCCTGACCCTTGTCCCTGTCCTCCGGTTTCTCTCTGGGGTCCTGGAACCTTCTCCTCCGACTCCAGCCTTGCTCTGGCCTTGCAGACACCAGCTCAGACTTGCACACAGACTGGCCCACTGTGTCTCCAGACCCTTCCTCTCACGAGGTGCCTCACCAGCGCACAGATGCTCGTAGTCGGCACAGCAATCGTCGTGGTAGGGGCACCGACGGTCGCACTGGCAGGCAGCGTCCCGGTTAAAGTTCTCGTTGCAGCGAGATGTGCACGATTCCAGGTTTCCTGCGACAATCAAGATCAGCAGTTTAGCGCTTCAGGGACCCCAAGCTTTTCCTAAACCGGCCCTGCAGGAGGGTTCAGGGAAGGGAATAGCAGAGGCCGACGCTGCCTACAGGACAAGCATGCTCACAGCCTCCCGACTCAATGTAGGCCTTCCCTATCTCTACTCTTTTTTTTATTTTTCTTTATTAATTACACTTTATTCACTTTGTATCCCCCCTCAGGTTCCCTCCCTCCTCCCTACCCAATCCCTCCCTTCCTCCACCCTCTGCATGCATGCCCCTCCCCAAGTCCACTGATAGGGGAGGATTTCTTTTCCTTCCTTCTGATCCTAGTCAATTACGTCTCATGAGGAGTAGCTGCATTGTCTTCTTCTGTGGCCTGGTAATGCTGCTTCCCCCTCAGGGGGAGGTGATTAAAGAGCAGGCCAATCAGTTCATGTCAGAGACAGTCCCTGTTCCTATTACAATGGAACCCACTTGGATACTGAACTGCCATGGGCTATCTCTGTGCTCTTAGTCTGCCCGGCATGCCCCAGGCTCAGACCACCAACCAAGGCTCGCACTCTGGCGCCTGTTTGCGGGACCTGTGACAGAAACAGGCAGCGTGTGAGCAGTAAGAAGATCGTCCCAGACTTGACACCGATGGCCTGGCTGGAGTATACAGCCACTGCCCAGCCACAAATTATGTTCTCCCAAAAGGCTGAAGAAAGAGGTGGGTGGCCAGGATAAGGTTCGCTGGCCTGTCCTGTAGATGAAGGACAGTCACTGCAGTGGCATCAGTGACTCCTGACGCTTCTTGAGGCCACCCCTCGCTCTACTCCTACCCCCTTTCTGTTCTTTGTTCTCTCCTCCTTGACCCTTTCAAGCACTCTCTTTCCCCATGTCACATCTCTGCTCTTTCCAGCCTCTGGAATGCATTCTGTGCTTGGGTGGGGAATGAGGCCGATGTGGGTGAGAACTGGGCTTTGGGACAGGATTCTGTTATGCAACCACAGACCACATCCCTCGCTCCAGACAAACCATTTACAGAAGCAAAGCTTTTGGTCACAAGAGGCATATGACCAGAACCTTTGTTTTGTTTTGTTTGTTTTGTTTTGTTTTTCAAGACAGGGTTTCTCCGTGTAGCCCTGGCGGTCCTAAACTCACTCTGTAGACCAGGCTGGCCTCAAACTCAGGGATCCATCTGCCTCTGCCTCCATAGTCTAGGATTAAAGGCCTGTGCCAGCACACCTGGCAATGAGCAGAACTTGTGCAAAGAACAATACAAACACATTCCCACTCCAAAAGAGGAACTGGGTCCCACTATGCCCACCACAGCAAATGCTGGGCAGACAGTGGAGAGAGGAGTTTCTCTACTCTTGAACTAGGGCTGTTTTTGTGATGCCTCCTGAGGCCTGGGTGTCAAGAACACTGGGCTTGTAGGTCAGGGTGAGGGCTGTGCAGAATGTCAGGGTCAGACTCAGAAGCCGGGCATGTGTTTGTAATGCCAGGACTTGTGAGATAAAATCCTGGGCTGCATCCGATTTTGTCTCAAAAGAAGAAAAGAAAACAAAGAAATAAACATACAAAAACCAAACAAACAAACAAAAAAAAAAAAACCCAGCCACAGGAATCAAAACTGCCATGAACATCTGTAATGGGCCAATGAGAAAATACAAACCTAACTTAGACCAGGGCTGAAGCTGTCCTTGAATTTAGAGCTACAGCAAAGAGGAGCTTGCACTAAATTGATTGCTAAAGTAACACTTTTGTATTGGTATTTGGGTAAGAACTGAAGTAAGATTAAACTTGACATTTAGGGCTGAGCATGTACCAGGACTAGAAAGGGAGAAGAATGTTTTGACTAAGGTTAGCTTTGGTGTTGCGTTTTATCATGCCTAACAAGGGGTACACAGCAGAGCAGGGCTGGATTCTGGGACCTAGCTGCCTGGGTTGAAATCCTGGTTATCATGCTTTTCAGCTGTGTGATCCTGAGCAAGTTATTTAACTCTCTGTGTCTCTGTTTTCCTTATCTGTAAAAATAGGAAAAATTTAGAGTCTGTCTCGTAGAATATGTATACGAAGTAAATGAGTTGGCAAAGGGCTTCCTGTGGTGTGTGACACAGACTAGAGCCATTTCGGTATTTGTTACATAAATAAACAATGGCACATTCCACATCCTTATCATCACAGACGGCAAATGTCCAGACTGGCTGCAGCAATCATCCCTGGTCAGGGAACCTGCCCACAGACTACATTGCCTGACCCTCTCCCTCCCCCATTTCAGCTGGGCCATGCTGTGAGGTGGGTGGTTAGCGCATGTGTGCTGGGATGGTTTCCCAGCTGACTTCATCATCATTATGAGCCTCTTCTTTGCATCAGAGAGGTGTCAGGTCAAGGTTAAACCAGACCCTGAGGCCATTGCATATTGTGGGCTCGGCCTCCAAAGTATTCAAGAAGAAAGGGCATCACTGCCACTGTCCCATCCAAGCACACAGGGAACCCTTCGTGAATCTTAAGTCATCTCAGTTGGCACCTAAACGGTAAGGTCTTAACAAAAAGTGTTCAGTACAGGAGGAAGGCTGGGTCAGCTGCTTGCCCAGCAGCCTGGCAGAACACCAGAGTCCCGAGGGAGTGAATGCAAGCTTGTGAGGGCCTTGCTCCTAATGGGCCACCGAGGCCGGTCCAAGGATGGAATCCTCCCTGTTCTAGAGCTGGCAGGAGTTGAGAAGGGCAAGTGAAAAGCTGGCTGTGGGTTCAGGAGAGCTCTCCCACAGGCCCATGCTGTGCGGATCTGTCATCCCTGCCTCAGCGCTTTGTCCCCAGTGAGAACCTGATGCCAACACGTCTCACAGGCATCCGTTTTGCTTCAAGGTAAACTTCGGTCATGGGGGCAGGGGAGGAAGGGGTTTTTCCTTACAGGAACTTCAGCTGTTGTACTGGGGACACCAGGTGACTCCTCATTATGACTCCAGGTCCCCCACCCAGTGCCTCCCTTTGTCACAAAGCTTTCCTGTAAAGCCTCACTCACCAAGCTGGGGCCCACATCAGTACTCCTCTGCCCCATCTCCAATTCTCCTCTGCTCTTACTCATTTTGTCTCCCTCTCTGCCTTGGGTTTGCCTTACGCTCCCCACACAGAGAGAGCTCTAGCTCCCTCCTCTGTGAGAAGCGACATTTCTCTGCATCCTCTCGGACCTTAGCATGCTACAGCCTACGAGCCCTTTCCCCACTGGCCTTCAGGACAGGTTGGTACCAAACCTGGGAGGACACAGCATCCTCACCTGTCAGACCTCAGACCCTTTGACAACTGAGGCATCCCCACATGCTTGTCTCTCAGGGAAACCCAGACGTTATTTCCATGGAAACCTAGCGAACCAAAAACCTTCATCTCCAAGACCAACTTCCTGCCCCTGTTCATTTGAAACAGCGCGGTCCTTGGAAGAAGATCCCTGGCTTGCAGACTGTGGCCTGTGCCATGACTCCCGGCATGGCTCACACTTTGGTATCCTAGTCCGAAGATGCTGGATGCTCACTCCTGCCTTCTGGTGTCTCTCCACCCTACCCTCATTTCCAATCCACCTCACAGCAGAAGCTAACCAACACTTTCACCCCTAGTAGCCCAGGGCCGCCTGTGCCTCTGAAACCACTATGGCCATGACCTTAGAAACCTCCTGTAAGACCGGATATCTCCCACGCAATCCTCTCCTGGGGCTGGCAGAACCCACGCCCTCTGAGCATCCTTCTACACTACAGAGTCCCACAGGCCCTCCTTCATCCCTCCAAGGAGCAGACTTGCGGTAAGATCCCGGGCCTGGCCTTCTCTTTCCTCTTCTCCCATTCCAGACCCAGGACCCAGGCAGAGCTGAGTCCTCAAAGAGGCGTATACAGCGTTGAGGGCCACAGAATGGCTCTTTGTCCTCCGTGCCTTATCTATGTGGGAATCCCACTGGGGTCTCCCTGTACACAGCCTGATGGGGAAAGATACTAAAAGTCAGCTCCTTGGTAGAAATATTTATGCTTCAGCTCTGACAAGTTCCAACGGGCTGGGCCCTCACTTGGTCCTCTGTTTTTAACTTATCAGATCCTTTCACCAGTCTGAGGCAAGAACAGCCTGGGAGGGTGGAGCCACAGGAACTCTGGCGCTCCTGGGGCGGAGAAGGATACTGCCCACACCCCTCAGCTCAGCCCCCTCCCTTGGCCAGCCCCTGCACCCCACTAATCACTAACTGACACAGCAGCATCATTTTGCACAGTTACTGAATAGGATAGTGTTACTTTCCTTTTTCCAGCACCTCCTCCTTCTCACACTGCCTGCCAGAGCAGGGCACATCCCTTCTCTACTGTCTGGCTCCCCCAACCTGAGGTAAAAACCCATTTCTCTAACCCTTGTGTAGCCGGGCAGGGCTCACCTCTGAGTCAGGGGCTTTGGTTTCCTTCTGAACCCACCCATCCCTTAATGCCCATCTCACCAGGCAGCCAAGGGTGACCAAGGGCAACCAGGTAACCCCAACTCAGGGACCTCCTTTCCTTTTACACCATGCAGCAGCCCCAGGAAAACAAAGCCTTGGCCAAGTATGGAGTGGGTTTATTCCAGTGATGTTGGAGCTGACCCACCCCCCCAAGACTTGAGCCTCCACAATCACTAGCCAACTTCAGCGACTGATCCTATAACCTCAAGCAAGGACAGGCCAAAGTGGTCCACTGGGTTAGGACATGTATCCTCTGTCACGTGCACCAGCCCTCTGTTCTTTAGGCAATTCACCCTCCTCCCATGCCCAACAGAGTGTGACTTACCAGCCCAGGCCAGGCCACAGAGCATGGCCACTATAAGAGGGACACAGGCCTTCATGATGCCAGCTGCAGTGGAATGGCCGTTGGACTTGCCACTACAATCAGGGTGAATGTCACAGTGCACAGAGGAGCCGGATTCCCCAGGAAGATCCTTTTAAAGACATCAGGACTTGTGGATCTGGTGTGTCTAGATCCTTCCAGGAAGGAGGGGGGAGGGATGAATCGCAGGTGGATGGGAGGTGGGGCCCTGCAACTGTTTGAAGCCAGAGAGAAAAGGTGACTAAGCAGGCAGGTAGTGCCAGATGTTCAAAACAGGTAATGCTTGCTATATGTAGCTAGAAAATAGGCCACACCAGCAGACGCAGCAAGATGGACCTAGTCTGGCAGGTTCTTTATTCAAGTTAAGGACACTGATGTGCTCATCTCTGGGTGATCTAATCTAAGCTCCCACCTAACTCCAGTCACAGACCTGGCCTGCTGGGGACTGTAGATTCAGATTCAGATTCATTGGGGTTCTAAGAACAGGTCACACAGTTCCGCTTCTCCTACCGTGTAGAAATCCCTTCCACGGTCCTAATGCTTGCTGGACTGTCACTGGAATGCCTTCCCTCCTGGGCAGATTGGGGTACATCCTCCCTGACATGCTCATCAACTCCCTCAGATCTCATTCCCCACCCCTAGGACTTTACAACCTAAGATGTGCTGGTATAGATAAAGACAGATAACGATACAAGGATGCGTGGTGGGGAAGACATCACATCACTAAGCAAGCACTCTTCAGCCCATTCATGCAGAGGTGACTTGTGGAGGAATCTGGATCCTGTGCTGGCTATGACAGCGTGACACAAGCTAAGGCCATCTGGGAAGAAGGAATCTTGGAAACCCATAGGATTGGCCTATAGGCAAATCGGCACAGTATTTTCCTGTTCGATGATTGATGTGGGAGGGCCCATCCCTCTGTGGGCAGGGGCATCCTTGGGCAGGTGGTTCTGCGTTGTATAAGAAAGCAGGCTGAAGCCAGATGGTGGTGGTGCACACCTTTAATTTCAGCTCTCAGGAGGCAGAGGCAGGCAGATCTCTGTGAGTTTGAGTCTAACCTGGTCTACAAAGGGAGTCCAGGACAGCCAAGGCTGCACAAAGAAACCCTGTCTTGATACAACAAAACAAAAAGAAACCCTTTCCCCTTGATGTTGCTTTTTGTTGTGTTTTATCATAGCAATAGAAACCTTAACTAAGGCAGGTGCCCATAGACTCACTAGCCCCAGCAGCTTTCTCTATCTGCTAGCCCATCTAAAGGGGACCCCACTGCCCCTCCTCCTCATCTCTCCTTCAGCCAAATGCTCACATAGGCTTCCATCCTGACAATCCTTTCCAGGGAGCCACCGTGGAAACTCCAGAAGGCTGAGACCTGAGTGGGGCAGGAATGAAGAGAGATGTGTGATGAAGGGTGTAGGGAAAGACTGTCAACAGATATGATGAAATGGGTGGGGTGTGGCCTTTGCGGTGGTGTGGAAGAAGGGAAAGGCTGAGGCTGCCAGGGCTCGGGCCAGGAGTCAGGTAGCTGCCAGAGATGTGGAAAGAGGGTATTCTGTCAGGGTATTTATTAACCTGCCACTTTATGCTAAGTGCTATGTTGTAACTGGCTTTAGGCCTTTAAAATATTCTGTGTGTGTGTGTGTGTGTGTGTGTGTGTGTGTGTTGTGTGTGTCTATAGCTCTACGTATCTATCTACTTATCTACCTATCATCTCTATATCTATCTATCTCTGTCCATCTATATCTGCCTTTCTTGTCTGTCTATGTGTGTCTCTCTGTCTCTCTCTCTCTCTCTGTGCGTATGTTTTTGTGTATGAGTACAGGCTCATGCATGCTACAGTACATGTGTGGAGTCAGAGGGCAACCAGGTGTTGGCTGTCATTTAAGACAAGGGCTTTGTGTCTCCCGCTGCGTTCATCAGACTCACTGACCTGGGAGCTTCCATGGATCCCCCTGTCTTCACCACCTCCTGTACCCACAAAGGAGTTCTGGAATTGCAAACTCAGCTCTACCGTGTCTGGCCTTGACACAGATTTTGAGGATCCAAACTTTGGTTCTCGTGTTTTCACAGGAAGCTATCTCCCCGGTCCCTGGGCCCTTCCTGAAACCACTGACTTCTTGCTGGTAAAGAGTACACATGATCCAGCAGGGAGCCACTCATCTCTGGGCTCACTGGGAACCAGGACCTGGCAGGACCAGAGAGCTGAGAGAGAGAAACTGGCCCCAGGAATATAAAAAGGGACCCATGCCTCCAGGCCAGCCTACTCCACCATGCTGGTCCCGTGAAACCAAGACCAAATAATGTCAACTGGGAGCAGAGCGTGCAAGGACTTTCATCTGTCCCAGCCCCGGGAGGTCTGAATTACATTTCCAAGGGGAGGGGGTGCAGACTCAGCTTCCAAAGGGACCTCAACCCATAAAGATGTTGGACCTCCAGGCTGTGGCCTGTGAGTGCTGTCCTGACCCTAGGAAGAAGGCCCAGCACAGCCCTCCACATCTGATCTCACTAAGGCTTACCACCGGCCACATGTGGGTTTTGCAGTTTGAATGTTCCGCAGCACATGCGACTTTCCAAGCTTTCTCCTTTGAAGTCCGGGCAGCCTGACTTTCAGCATCACAATTTGTTCCTGCCTGGGCCTGCTCTTCTCAGAGTCCCATGCCTGGAGATGGTTCAGCCAGCCACACCCACAGTGACCTTTGCCTAGAATGCCCTCTTCTCACTGGCTGTCCAACCATCAGTCATCCTCTAGATTCCAGGAACCCCTCCTGCTGTAGACTCTCTTCCGGATATGATCTTGTACCTCCAACACACCACATCCACCTCTCGATGGCACCAGGTAACCTCCACACTCCCACTTAATCTTTTGCCCATCAGCTGTTTCTGTAGCTCATCTCTGAAATCCCTTGAGTTGGGGATCCCAAGTTGTCCCGTTGGCTGCTTAGTACAGCCATCCCACACATGTTAGAGAACAGTCAATATGCGTCCAGGAATTACCATGAATGCACAAGGGAACTGGGCAGCCTTCCACCTTGTTTCTTCTCACTAAGGCCTAGAGGGAAGGTTTTAGGAAAACAGAGGCAGCAGCAACACCAAACTAACTCACACACCACTAGTAAGTTAGTTTTGGCGCTACAACTTCAAGGAGCAGCCAAAACGGGGATAGACAGAACCCAGGATTCTAGCAGCTTCTGAATTTGTGACATAACTTCTTTTTTTTTTTTCCCCTGGACCCCAGGGTAATGACTTGCCTGCTTGAAACACTTGAAGAATGGTAGGCAAAAGTGCCAATGAATGTTTTATACACCTCAACAGTGATGGTGAAGTAAAATTACTATGGCAGGTCCTCCACCCACTTTGAAAAGCACCTAAGCTCAGCACACACTGAAAGACGTGGATGGGACTGGCAGACAGAGATAAGGAGCCTAGAGGAGACAGCAAGGCGGTGAGCAAACGTGAGACAAAGAGAAAGAGACCAGCCCTAGGCTGACCAAGCCAGGTGCTCACACCTTACCAGCTTCTTGCCCCGGGTGTGTTGGCATAGTCAAACTGCTCTGGCTTCTCAAGGGTGATGACAGGACACAGCACTGCCAGGAGCAGTTCCTGATCCATATGTGAAAATCTACTGTCAAAATTACCATGATTATTATGCCAGGGAGTCAGGTTATGAGGAGTTTCCCCTTTCTCAAGCATTCCTTCGTTTCTTCACGCACTGAGCAGATTAGTAATGTCGCTGTGCCAGACATGTTGGCACAGGAGATACAAAGTGTGTTAGCCAGAGTCTGGGAGATAGGAGACATTGGGATAATTATATTTAAAGTTTTGGTTTGGGCCACCGGGTCCTAGAGACCAGCTCCAGCACGCAGGGTAAACCAAGATGGGCCACAGCGTCGGGGTGATGACCAGCTGGTGGCTGGTGTTTCTTTCTATACTTTAACTCTTAATCATTCAGGCTGGTAGCCTTGTTATTCTGTATACACACTTTTACTCTTAAGCTTCCAGGCTGGTCGCCTTTCTATTTGGGGCTCGCTCTATATATACAGTTTAATTCTATATGTACAGTTTAACTCCCAGGGGCTGCTGGTCATGAGAGCCTCTAAAGGAAAAGACAGCAGAGGGTCTTAATCAGTCAAGCTAGGTGGCTCCTTTAACTTGGAGCGCAAGCGGCCGCAGCCCTGACAGTTTCTTGAGGTAAATACAAGGGCTGTAAGAAGAAAACCTTAGTTCTTTTTAACTTAACGGCTCAGCAATGAACAGTGGCTTACTGGAAGGTAGAGTCCCAGCTAAGAAGGCTGATAAAACACTCCAGACTGCTTATCACTTACTAAACTTAATAACTTAGAAACATGTAAAATTGAGACAAAGCAGGCAGATATTTACAAACAAAAGGCATATGCACCCATACAGTCACTAGACAATACAAGGGAGCTCCCAAAGACACCATCCATCCACATATATGTAAACATGCAGATATAAATATACACATACACAATATAGACAGACAGAAACATTTTTGGATGAAGTGGGCCTCAACATACTTAAGGGTTTTTATATTCTCTAATACAAAGGTTCTCAATGTATGGAAAAATTACATCATTCAAAAATAGATACAATTGTTACATTAAAAAGAGAGTTATGGCAGGACTGTTGATCCTAATATCTAACTAGATAAGTTTAAAGCAATCGTTTTTATATATGCTCATTATAAATTCAAAGCAGAATTTTTTCTTTTTATTTCAAATGTCCATTATGTATTCAAAGCAAGTTTTTAAAGTCAAGGTTTTTTTTTTTTTTTAAGAAACAGGTGTTTGTCTTGTCTTACATAGCTAACCATTTATTTTTTGTTTTTATATTCATATGGTCTTTCTTATAACATGGGCCTCTTTCCTGGTTTAAACCTAGAATGAATGTAAAACAAGTGCTTGACATATGGAAGTTCATAGAGCTCCCAGCAGTCTGAGTGACACTGCAGGAGGGTTTCAAAATTACTTGAATCAAGTCAGAAATTCTTTAGAATCATTGTCAGAGGTTATGAAACCATCAAATTTGTTTAAACAGCTCTATGAAGGTACATCTTCAAAATAATCTGCAGGAAATCTGCCCAACAGAGTGAAGCCATGAGCAGTGAGGGTCTCTGCCATGCCTGGTAT